TCTTCCTTTATGCCTTCTGCACAAATATTCCCATTCCTTTTGATGAGACACTTCCCATTTACAAAAATGGTCTCAAAACCTTGTTTGTCTAAATTAGACACACTTAACAAATTATGTTCCATCTCAGGTACACAAAGCACATTGGTAAACTTTGATTCCAAATATGGAATTTTTACATCGCCTCTTCCGATGACTTTTGCTTTCTGGCCATTTGCGAAAGCCACAGCTTCTTGTGCTACTGGAACAAACCTGAAAAATAATTCAGAGTCATTAACAATTGTTTGACTTGCCCCACTATCTATTAGCCACTTGTCTCTGTTGTTGCTATAGCAACCTTTTGCAACACCAAAATGTTCCTTTTGCAAATCAGTCTTCTTTGCTTGAACAAATGTCCTTTGCTGCAAATTATTCCTCTGCAAACAGTTCCTTTTCAGATGTGTATTTGCACCACAAATGTAGCAATTCTTTTCTTGTTGAGCTCTCTGCTTGCAAAATCTCTCTTTTGTTGCAACTTGGTCCCATCTGCTCCTTGCTTCTCCGGAGCCTTGCAGTCTGGACCCCCTCCTCAGGAATTTCTCCTCCTCGTGGCTGTTCCTAAAATGGTGCTTTTCTTCTTCATTAAGCAAACATGCCTTTAAAGCCTCAAAATTTAAGTCTTGCTCTTCTTTACACTCAAATATTGCAGAAACTGTGTCCCAGGTTTTATCTAAACTGTTCAACACCAATAAAACCTTCTGGGACTCAGGGAATTTAATCCCACATTGTTCTAAGTCCAAAAATAAATTTTGCATTTTATTTAAATGCTGTTCCACAGATTCACCTGGTTGCAAACAGGCCCTGTAAAGTTTTCTTGACAATTGCACTATATTGCATGCAGAAACATTCACGTGCACAGCTCTCAACTTCAGCCAAATTTCCTTTGCAGACTTTAGATTTGCAACATTTAGAAACTGTTCATCATCTAAATTCAAGATGAGATAAGCCATTGCTCGATCATGACTTTTCTTATTAGCAGCTGCAAACACTTGTGGTGGATTTTCTACGATATACCACAGCTCTTTAGCTTTCAGCAAACATTCCATTTTAGCAGCCCACACAATGTAATTCTTTTGGTCCAAACGAGGCACAGAGCTTTCCTTAAATTCCATTGCAGCCA